AAACCATCGATGACATAATAAAGTACCAATCAGAAATGAAGGCTACATGAACTGAAATGAAGAATAATTTACAGGGAATCAACAGTAGAGTAGAGGCTGCTGAGTATCAAATCAGCAATTTGGAACATGAGGAAACAAAAAACACCCAACCAGAAGAGCAAAAAGAAAAAAGAATCCAGAAATATGAAGATAGTCTAAGGAGCCTCTGGGACAACTTCAAGAGGCCCAACATTTGTATTACTGGGGTGCCAGAAAGAGAAGAAAGAGAGCAAAAAATTGAAAACCTATTTGAAAAAATAATTACAGAAAACTTCCCCTACTTGGGAAAAGAAATAGACTTTCAAGTCCAAGAAGCACAGAGGGTCCCAAACAAGAGGAACCCAAAGAGGCCCACAGCAAGACACATCATAATTAAAATGCCAAAGGTTAAAGACAAAGAGAGACTCTTAAAAGCAGCAAGAGAAAAGCAGTTAGTTCCCTACAAGGGAGCACCCATACGACTGTCAGCTGATTTCTCAACAGAAACCTTGCAGGCCAGAAGGGAGTGGCAAGAAGTATTCAAAGTGATGAAAAACATGGAACTACAACCAAGATTGCTCTACCCAGCAAAGCTATCATTTAGAACTGAAGGTCAGATAAAGAGCTGCTCAGACAAGGAAAAGCTAAAGGAGTTCATCACCACCAAACCAGCACTACAGGAAGTGTTGAAGGGTGTTCTTTAAGACGAAGGTAAAGAACAAAAGAATCTGATAGATCCAGAGACATTGATGCAGGCAACAGACGATCATATTTCAGAGGAAAGAGGGAAGGGGGGTGGAGGGTGGGAAGAGATTAACCAAAGAAGTTATATGCATAACCCATGGACACAGACAATGATGGGGTGAAGGCCTGTCTCTTATACACATCTAGATGTGTATAAGAGACAGGTCCTGAGGGTCGCGGAGGCTGCGGGAGCCNGAAGAGATTAACCAAAGAAGTTATATGCATAACCCATGGACACAGTCAATGATGGGGTGAAGGCCTGGGGAGGGGGTGGGAATGAGGTGGAGGGGGTCAATTGGGGGGAAAAATGGGATATCTGTAATACTTTCAACAATAAAGATACATTTTTTTAAAAATCGATGTTTCTCTCTTGGTTGCTCTCAAAAATCAATAATTTAAAAAAGAATTCGGGAAGTTTAACCAACTATACTTCAATTTTTTATTTCCAAATACATCTTCCTAGACCTTTATCTTCTTTGTGGTTCATATTATTACAATCACTAACTTTTTAAAAATTGATTTTGGAGAGAGAAACATCAATTTGTTGTCCACTTATTTATACATTCATTAGTCAATCATTGGTTGATTCTAGTATGTGCCCTGATCAGGAATCAAACCCGCAACCTTGGTGTATTGAGACAGTGCTCTAACCAACTAAGCTACCTGGCCAGGGCCTATTATCACTAAATCTTTATTTGCCATGCAGATTCAGCTTAATATTTCTATAGTTGTATAAGTAATTTTTCTAGGCTAGTAATATTGAAATTCTCCAGAAATGTTGTACTAGAAAGGAACTTAAGTGTTCCTGTTAGCATAGTCTCAATATAGGCTTGCTACCTGAAGGACTGTATTGCTTTGAGATCCTAGAATGACACTGGTATTACACAAATAGAATAAAGGAAGTGAAAATCAGTATCACTTTCTCAATGATATACACATTCCAATTCATTTATTAAAATTTCAGTTTTCCTTCTCTAGCTTAAAAAAATAGGAATATGATTTCCCCCAAATGGGCTTTTAAAAGAATTATTATTAATTCTTTAATAATAATAAAGAGACGTTAATAGAAGGCAGAAGCTTTATTTGGGTTTAGAATGCACCTAAGGGGGAAAGTGTCTTCGTGTTCATTACATCCTAAAAGTTTTCAGTTTTTCTAATAGTGACTTTAAAGCAGCTCTGTTCAATAGGACTTTCTACAGAGGCAGAAATATTCCATATCTATGCTGTTCAATACAGTAGTTAGCAGCCCAGCCGGGCGTGGCTCAGCCGTTGATCATCGACCTAGGATCCAGGAGATTGAAGTTTGATTCCCGGTCAGGGCACGGGGGCTTAATCCCCGGTGGGGGGTGTGCAGGAGGCAGCCAATCAGTGACAACTCTCTCATCATTGATGTTTCTCTCTCTCTCTCTCCCTGTCCCTTCCTCTCTCTGAAATCAATTAAGATATATTTAAAAAAAAAAAATACAGTAGTTAGCTACATGTGCCTATTAAGCACTTGAAATGTGGAACTGAATTTTAAATTTTATTAAGTTTTAATTTAAATAATTTTTTAAATTATTGGTCAACAATTAATCATTGGCTATGGTATTGGGCAATATATTCTAAAGCAAGATCCAGCATAATTGCTCTTACCTAAAAGTAATTTAGTAAAATGTTTATCTTATAAAGTCCACATGTCAAAGGTTAGGTTTAAAATTCTGGGCTGCATATGAAAAATCAGATGGTAGAGGCTCTCACACATGGCTCTTATAACAACAATACAGATCCTTTCATGGGGCCCCCTTCATTGCCAAGTCCACTTGAGTTCTGTGTAAGTTGTGGAAAAGGGGAAGAGTTTGTTTCCTTGGTTTTGATTATAGTTCACTCTCATTATTTCCACCGCCTCACTATATTCCAGAGTCAAGAAGAGTGTTTTAGGATGTTTAAAGATTTCAGCTAATGAGACACACTGTAATTGCAATGAGTGAGGGGTGGCATGTTTGGAAGTCACAGATTATTTTTGGTGGAATCCCTATCTGAATTAGCAGATCTTAGAAACAAAATAGCCATTTGATTTCTTTCTTCCACCTCCCAAAAGACTACCATGCTTAAAATACAAACCAATGTCATGTTTGGGGTTGACATTGGTCAACTAACATTAATGAACTTGGAGATTGCCCAAGCCTTATGATTACCCATTTTACAGGTAAAGAAACCAGAGCCAGAGAGTTTAGTTTCACCAAGTTCTCAATGTTTGGGGGATGATAATTTCACTGCGGCTTTTTAAATCCTTATACAGTAGTAGTTTTAAGTAGGATGGATGTGTGTATTTTATATATATTTAGAAATATATAGACATGATAGAATCTTATTATAAAGTGTATTACAAAAATCACATCTTTTGAACAACATGGAAATATGGTCCTTTATATCCTGATATCAGGAGTCCCACTATGTAGTTGTGCGTTTATTTTTTATTTGTTCTTTTTTTGCCATTTAATCATTTGTTATTTTTCAATTGCAGTTGACATACAACATAATATTAGTTTCAGGTGTACACCCCAGTTAGACATTATATAAGTTAGTAAGTGATTAGACATTATATAACTTACTAAGTGATCATCCTGATCAATCTAACACCATACATATATTGACTATATTCCCTATGCTGTGCTTTACATCCCCATGACTGTTCTGTAACTGCCAATTTGCACTTCTTAATCCCTTCTCCCACCCACCCCACCCTCCTCCCATCTGGCAACCCTCAAAATATGCTCTATCTATGAGTCTGTTTCTGTTCTGTTTGTTAGCTTATTTTGTTTTTTAGGTTGAATTGTTGATACATACGTATTTATTGCCATTTTATTGTTCATATTTTTCTTCTATTTCTTCAACATTTCATATAATAGTGGTTTGGTGGTGATACACTCCTTTAGCTTGTCCTTGTCTGAGAAGCTCTTTATCTGACCTTCAGTTCTAAATGATAGCTTTGCTGGGTAGAGCAATCTTGGTTATAGGTCCTTGCTTTTCATCACTTTGAATATTTCTTGCCACTACTTTCTGGGAGTGTGTTTATTTTTAATGCCAGCAAATTTATATTCGGAAATTAATATACACTTCTGTTTCTAAGGGTGAGTCTTTTGCCAAAATGGGAAATATAAGGTTTTTAAGTTTACAAAAATTTGAATTTCCAAATCTTTCACACCAAGAGGGAACTGATACAGTTTATACTAATTGTACTAATATTTCCTCAGGTAAAATGTTTTCTGAAACACCAAATCTGTAAGAGGATAAACAATGAGCTTAAGTAAACTATTAGGTTTGGTAATTATGTTAGTAGCTGTGAGATTTTCATATAACGTTTCCACATTTACTTAGATGGGTTCAGGTAGTCAATAGGCTTGTGATTACCCTCTCGAGCAACTCCAAAACAAGCCAAGGTTATTGCCACTGCTGTGTTGACTGTTCGCAGTACTTCTTCTGGTGTCTTCCCCAGACATGGATTCACTTCCATTATGTCTAATCCTGACAGTAGCCCTACAACAACAAGTGAAAATAAGGTAATTTGGTAAATAGTTGACATTTTAAATTCAGTATCTCTGAAATATTACTCAGGAGTGTAAAGAGAAACCACTTCAGTTACTGCATCATTCTGGAAGTGTCAACGGGGGGCTTGATTTTCAGGTCAGGCAGTATAAATACATATTGGCCATGTGTACACTTGCTGCTTTATGCACTCCAATTTATACCTACTTGTTTTGAAAATTTCTTCTGTGATGTAGAGACCTTCTCTGTAAGTCAGACCTCCGATGACTGGTGTGCCAGTAGCTGGTGTGACGGATGGGTCCAGTCCATCAACATCAAAGCTCAGATGAATCGGCCTTTTCTTTCTTTTAAGAAGTGGGAAAGTAATTCAGTTTAAAGTTGGTAGTTTAATATTTAGTTCATATAGTTCTTACTTTGCTCTATAAACGGGAACAACCCAGTAAAGTTCCAGATTTTACATAAAGGTTTCATTAATAACTTACATTGATTAGTGTCAGTAGCAAGTTATTTTAACAATACTTACGTTACACATACAAGCATCATACCTTCCTACTAGATAGCTGAGTGTTTCTTCCATCACCTTGCCAATTCCCAGCTTGTCCACTTCACTCATTGAAAAGTATTTAATACCCAGAGTTTTCAAAAGATAGCTGTGAAAGAGGAGATATTAAGACAATCTATAGTTAGCATAGTGTCTGACTCTGTGCTCTCATTCCCCTTTAAGAAAAGATCAGTGTGGTAAGATACATAAAATATTTAAATTCTGTAAGCTCTGTGTATATTTTAATGTATTCTTAACAGCAAGTCAATATAAAAATTATCTGAATATATACATATATGTGTATGTACATATATATATAAATATATTTAGATATAGGTATAGATATATAGACTTGGTGCTTAAAATATTTTTTTCTCATAGGTTTGGCCAGTACACCTAGCATGCAAAAGGAGAAAAATGAAAGTAAATTGCATCAAGGAATAAACTTACTGTTCCCCAGGGTCCACGTCTCTCAGGCCAATATACACAATATCTTTGGCAGTTATGCAGGGCGTCACCCAGGAGAATCCTGGTACATCGGGGATCTAAAATTGCAATGTTTCCATCTGGTTAAATATGCTTCTCTAGAGCAAATCTTATACTGAAAGTTAAGTACACTCGTTAGATCATATATGCCTTCTATTTGGAACATAAATTTTAAGGAATCATTGAAAGCCAATACAAAATAAAGAAGAGAATGCCTGCCTCCCTGGTAGCTGCTTTGGCTCTTCCCAACCTCACCCTGTGGCCCAGAGGCCCAGACCTAACCCAAATCATTTGTCACGTTTACCAGCGTTTAATCATTTGTGCACCATTTCCATTGGGCCCTGCTTTTCCAGAACTCTAAGGAAATCAGTGTGCTTCCATTACTTCCACCCCTTCTTTACTTCTCTTTCTCAATAAGGACTTAATCCAGAAGATGTCTCAGAGTGGCAAAGGGAAATTTTTTACCAACCCTTCGGTTGCTCTTCAAATTTCCTGGAGTCAAGCTTGGATGTTCCCATGTGCTAGCTACACATTTTGTGATTTGTATCACTTGGTTGTCAGTTCAGAAAATGTTATTTCTGGGCTTTTAACAGAACATTCCCAAGTATCATATAAACCATCAGACTACCAGTAGAAATTGTTTTATTGACATACTACAAGCATATCAATAGAAATGATAAACCACAATGTTAAATCTTAATCTGGAATTTCATCTTGCATCTTTTAGAAAAGAAGTTTCTAGGAAGCAAGGAGGTGGTTCTGCTTATGATTTAGATATGTGCTTCTCATAGTAAAGATGTTAAATGATAAACCATTGTAATCCCCATTTTTAAAATTCCACTTTTAAAAATGCCCTATGATGTGGAGGGACACTTGGTAAGAATGAGAGACTGTGCAGCATGTAATGGAAAGAGGTCAGCAGGAGACCAGTTCTGGCCCTTGCCTGGCTCTGTGCTTGGCATGTGACCTTGGGTGAGTTGGCTAACTTCTGAACCTCCGCTAACTTGCTTATAAAGGATTATTGGCTGCTCCACCTACTAAGAAGGGTAGTTTAAGAATCAAAAGGGAAGATATAAAGTCAGTTTGCAAACTATCGAGGAAGGGAGAGGTACAGAGCCTCACCACCTTTACCCTCTGACCCTTTGCTTATCTGCTGCCAAGAAAACAGTTTGAGATGATTCCAAGAATAAGATGGAAAGGGGTTCTTACTTGCCCCACCTCCTGAACTTCTGCTAAAGATTATTATTGTGTATGGAATACCAACCAGCCTCTTACCTTTCCCTGTAGTTCCTTCAGGAGGAAGGACACAGGCTGTCCATGCAAGTTCCCACTTGAGGTTGTCTGCGGAGTGTTGATGTCGGTGTGAGCATCCACCCAAATGACGCAGAGATCCGGGTGGATCCTGGCATGGCCAGAGATGCTTCCAATCGCCAAACTTTAGAGGAAAAAGTGTGTGTGAACATCAGGTTTGCGATATCATTACACACATCATATTATTAACTCACTTAGTGCTCGTGCCTGGTTTTCCTTTAAGTCAAAGTGGCTGATATTTCTCACAGGTTTCAAATCAGAGATGCCAGTTAAACAATTATAACAATAGAGAAAGTAGAGCTTATGCTTAATAGTTACTAAGAAGTTATAGTTACATCAAGGCATCACTGAATAATTGGTAATATTTTTCAAAATTGCCTAATAAAACTATAAATTATAGTTTCAGCAAAAATTAAATACATGTGAAAACGCTACCACACAAGGAATTCCTTAGAATGAGACTATTCCATTTTCAAGGTTAAATCAGGCTTATTTTCTGCACTTTCATTTCTCTTGGTAAATACTTAATTCTCCCAAGTGAATTATGACAGAGTCCTTCCATTTTTCCTAAAACCCAGTTGCTTACAATTGGGGAGCATCACTCAGAAGGCCTTGCAGGCCCTTCAGGCAGCATATCGCAGGTGCTCACTGGCTCCATCCAACAACCAGGCCCTCTGCCTGAACTTCCTACCCTCCTACCACTCGCTTAAGGACCACTTCAGCCAGGCCCAGGACCCTCGGAGCTCATCTCAAGGGCTCCAGGCTCCAGAAAAGGTGCCTGAGTGGAGCGGCTAAGTGATATCTTACACAATAGTGAAAAGATGAGGTCCGGCCATACGATGCTTTATTTACCCACTTGTGAATGTTTCGAGTTCCATTCAGAGGATCATATTGATTCTCAAAGTGGAAGCAATTGTGCCTTGATGTTCATTCAGGTGTTGATTACTCAGCTCGCTGCTGGTTTTCCCTTTAGGTTTCTTGTCTTTTTTGCCACTCTTAAATTTTCCACTTAACATAGAAAGGAAGCCCCAGTTTCTCAACTATGGTTTTGTCATAGAAGCCCCAGGAGCAGCTTGACTAGAGGAGAAAACTGAGGGGAGGGGAGTAATTGACTTTTGATCTAATCACACTTCCAGTAACCTATTTGGGGAACTTGAAAGTAAACATTAAAGAGGCTCATGCAGAAAAAGTATCTTTGCCACATTGTTTCTGACACTGAAAATTTGAAAATAACCTGAATTCGGACAATATGGGTATATATAGTGATGATATTTTAATAAAAAATTATGCAGCAGTAAAAAATATGCTTGTATATCATGAAGTAAGATAAGGAAATTCCTACTGTAAATTATGAACAAAACAGGATAATACACATACACACACGTTAAACAAAATCATGTCCTAGGGAAAAAATATGGCTGGAAGGAAAATATGCCATTTTCAATTCCGGTTGAAATGGTTGTTAGGGCACTACAATCACACTGTGTTGTTGTTTTTTTTCCTTTTTATATGTTTTTGTATTTCAAAAAATTGTTTCATTATTACTTTTATAATGGAAAACACCTTTAAATGTTGACCTAAATGGGTTGTTTCTACACCTTTAAATGTTGACTTAAATGGGTTGTGATCAAATACAATAAGTTGACTGAATTTCCTCAGTGCTCATTTATTTAGAAATATAAGCCTGTACTGAATATTTTGCTGAAATTCTTTCATATTTAATGTACTTTCTGCTATAATAGAGATAGTGCAAGACTTCAAACAGAGCTAAATCTGTTTCCAAAATAAAGTAGTAACCAATATAGTTTTTTAAAAGCAGAAAATTTGATATAAACTATTGATCAGTGCGCTCCCTTCCATATGTTCTCTACATGGTTCTGGGTGCACTTCCTTCATGCCGTTTGTGCCAGCCTCCCAGAGCTCATCAGGAACCGGCACCTGTGGTCTCCACCCAGCACCACGCTGGTCCTTCCACTCTTCTTGACTTCTGCCACCACACCAGCCAGCTGCTCGTTCGCTTTTCCCACAGTCCTCGGATTCTTCACAATTTGAAACGGACCGTCATTAGGGACATCAGCAAAGGGCAGGTCCCCGTAATCTTTTACATCACATTCTATAGTTAAAATGAAAAGTTGCAGGTTACTAAATAAAGCAAGATAACAAAACAGTCTGTGCAGGGTGATTTTAAATGTACAAAATAGGTATATTTTCTAAAGTATAAGCACAGCAAAAGTCTGAACAGACTGTAAGAGCTGTGAGGGCGGAAACCATGTCTACTTTAGCTTGACGTCATCACCACACCCCCACTGGGCCCTGCTGCCCACCACGTTCTCAATAAATGCGCGATCCGCCCAGTTAGGCTGTAAGAACAACAGCACGGCCTTCTGGTTTGGTTTCATGGGTGGTGTCACTGTCTTTGTCTCTGTGCTTATGCGCTTTCTATTTTTCTACAATAAGCATGTAATATATTTCTAATAAATCATTTTTTAAAGAATATAGATAGATACGCTATGCCCAGAAGAAAGTATACCATTACTTTATTAACAACCCTTGGTTTCAGTCCAATCTGTCGCCTGCTGGGGCAGTTCAGCCCCCTTCTGTCCGCTGTACTGCCTCACGGCACTGTCGTCAGAAGTCAGTAAGAGTATGCAGTTGCCAGCAGTCCTAACACTTCAGCAAGCTCAGCAAATAAAGGTTTTATTATTATAGTTTTAAATAAGGTAACCCAATGCTCCTAAGGACCGGAGTGCACTCCCTAAAAGGCCCTGCATTAGGCCGCAAGGTACAGAACTTCATGTGAAACTGTGATGCGGGCTCAGTTCAGTGTTCTGAACGACTGGTCATTGTGTTTTGTATTTGTTCATGTCTGTGTGTATCTGTGAGTCAGGAACACCTTCAAAAGTCCTCTTTACCTGATATAAAATGTGGACTGACGGACTAGTCCAGTTCATTTACCCAGGCTTCCTCTTCTCTGTTGGGGTCTCTCTCTCTTTTAAAGCATTTTGTTGTTTCCATATTTTGACTATTATAAATAATGCTGCTACAAACCTTCAAGTACAAACATGGCTTGTGAGAACATGTGTTTTCACTTTGGGGTAAATACCTAGGAATAGATTTGATGGGTCAGAAGGTAAATGTACGTTTATTTAAGAAACTGCCCATCTCCTTTCCAAAGTGGCTGTATCATTATGTAGTCTCATCAGAAATACCTGAGGGTTCCAGTTGCTCCATATCTTCTCCAACACTTCATCAGGGTTTTACATAAAAAGATGACATTTACTTTAGCTGTGCTTTTAAAATACAAAGTATTTTCATTTGCATACTCACATATGTAAATATGTATGTGTGTATAATATGAGTAATAATACACACGTATTAGTATTATTACTGGGGTTTTTATAGTCTCTGTGTTTATTAATAGAAGTGGTGAAACTTAATACTCCCTTATTATTTCCGATATTACAGTGAATTTCCATAGGCATATTTTTGGAGACCTTAGGTCTCGTCCTAAATCAAAGTAAGTATCAGTTCTTGCAACAACCAAGGGAAGGGAACTGCTCCCGCTGGTTCAAGGAAGTGCTGGAGAGAAAGGCAGAAACTGGAAAGAAATAAAGTCCTGATGTAATTCCCATTCTGATGTTTGTGGTAGGCGTTTGTGGAGGTAGCTAGCCATCTACAAAAAGCTCTAACGTTACTATTCAACAGAAGAGAAAGAGACGGAATTTGGCATAGCCCTTCCGGGCCGGGGTGGAACTGCTGAAAGCCCCGTAGGTGTCGCAGCCCCACAGCAAACACAGTCACCTGACCCTGACTCAGAAGCCTCCGATCCATCCCATTTCCAATCCTTTCTCGTAGCCCAGTTTTCAGAAGCTACGACAGAAGGACAGGATCTAAGAAAGCCAGTTGACACAACAGGCCACCCAATTCACGAGGTTCCGGGCGGCGCAGGGCTCTGACAAGCCTCGAGGCTCTGAGCGACCACCTGCTCTCCTCCCTCACAGCGCTGGGAAGGCCGGGGCCCGTCCTTATGGAACCAGGCCCCGGAGCCTGGGTCGCCACCTGACCACTCGAGGGGCACGCTTTCCAGCCCGAACTTGGCCTACTCGAAGCCCACAGAGGACGGTGGAGGCATCAGCCCGAGACTCGGTGCTATTGCTGCTTTATTTCCTCTTACAAACAGGGCTCCTCTGGCTGGCAGCGCACTTCCTGCGCCCCCTGCCTCACTTTCGATCCCCACAGCTTCCCTACCACCCACCCCAGTGGTCTGGCTGGAGAGACAAAATATCTGAGTAAATAAGCAACACTGATTGAGCACCCCCCCACACACGGCGCTGCGTTTACAGGGTGCACGTCTAGGGTTCCAGCTAGTGCTGCAATTCTGTAATACAGATGCCATTCCAGACACACCCACACCCTGAGTTAGCAGGGGCCTCTCCTTCCTGCAGAGCAGGAATTCAGGCTGATCATCTTTTAATTTAAAAGTTACCTTGGTCTTTAAGCTTCTCAAGCAGGCCAGCCTTTCTCAGTACTTTAGGGCCTTCTTCCACTCCTCCTCGTGGCTGAACAATTAAAAGATAAAGTCAGGCATCATCTTGACCATCAGATGCACACAACAGGAAACTTCATTATTTAACCAGTTGAATAGTAACTTTGTTTTTAGTTCCGACAGAGCCAGGAATTTACATTATCTCATTTGATTTTCACAGCAAGGTAGATTGGACTACTACTATGTGAAAAACAAGGATCTAGAATCAGAAAGGTTCCCTAATTTTCCTACAAGCAGGCAGCTAACAAGTGGCAGAGCCTCAGGAACTTATCCAGGTCCGTTGAATACCAAAACCTGCATCTCCTCTTCCCATCCTGGCATATTACCAGCATAGTGAACATTTATTTTGTGCAAACGCATTCTGATAGACGGAGATACAATAGTTAAAAGGAGAAGGTTTCTGTCTCTGAGTAAATCATAAGCTAAGGGGGGATTTGGATATTTAATATCAATCACAGTGCCTGGGTATGTGCTTCAAAGCAGGTACAAGAGGTCATAACAAGAACAGGATACACCTGTCTCTGCCAGGGACAGAGGGTGTCAGGTGGAGCAGATGACAGTTCAGCTTAGTGTTGCAATACGAATTCAGGATGACGAATAGGGTGATGGAGAAACTTTGTAAACCAGGGGAATAGCTCCAGTAAAGGCATTTTTTAAAATGTGTAGCACGGGAGAGAGCCCTGTCCAGATCCTCACAGTGGTAAAGTAGGGGACAAAGCAGGCAACAGGGAAAATCACCTGGAGGCTGGCTGAACCCACAAAGACCAACCTGCTATTTCACCTTTTGACCTGCTCAATAAGCACAGTGACCAGGAATTCCACCCTTGCTGTATTTACATCCGGGAAGCTAACATGCTTCCTCCCGGCAGTAAACCTTCCCCAGCCTGCTGGCAGATTAGTGACCTAAAAAAACGTTAGTTCTTTTATGTATCTCTCTGATCCTAATTCCCAACAAGGTTTTTAAATAGTACAAAGTTTTTTCCTGTTGTCAGATGAGAAGAGGTGCCAAAGACACCTGTGTCTGTTCCTAGGCTAGGCTACGGCACCAAACCAAGCAAACGCTTCTCCCCAATTCCAACAGCAAATGACTTGCCCTGGCTGCCAAGCAAACCCTCGACACCAAATTCCTGTCCCCGGCAGCAAAGGACCCCACACGCTCTGCCCGACACGTTTCTCTCCTTTACTCTATTCCCTTTGTGCCTGACTCCCCGCTCCCACCCCAATCAAGTAGATATAATTTCCCCTTCTTTTAACCCCCTTCCTCCCCCTCCCTCCCTCCTTTCCTTCCTTCTTTCCTCCCT